ACTCTTTTTCTCCCATTCAAGTATCAGTAGGCCTGATTCTACTATTAGCCTCAGAGATCAGACCTAATCTGGGTGGAATGGCAAATTCTTTTTTTTTTTTAATGAAAAAAAGTAGGATGGAATTGGAGTTCAAGATAGTGTTTATCTTTAAGGAACTTCTACACAATAATTAAGAATTAACCTTACACACAAAAATTAAGCAAAAAGAATGTCTACATAATTTAAATTTCACCCTTTCTAGGTCTTCAATCTCTCCACATCCAGAGTCCAGAATCCAAACTACTGTGCTCCTTTTCAACATGCTTGGTAACTCTATTGAATTGACTGACCTCCCCAAATTGCAGTCTCAAACTTTCCATTCAACTGGTGTCCATATTGTGTCCCATTCCTTTTAAACTTCGAGTACTGAGCAAATGGATACACTAACACCATGTAACTTATCTGTTAGCCCTTATAGATTTTCATTTGACATAACTCTGGAAATACAACACATAATGCAGAGAAGTAAGTCACTGAGGTGATACTCTTGAGACATTTCAGTGAGGGATGGCATACTTTAGAATAAATTTTAAATATTAATGAAAATAAGGATAAAAATGACATTGAAAATAATGCCTTCACTATACATTCTGTCTTGCACAAACTCTTGATCCATATGACATTTAATTATGTTTTATTTCCCTTCATTCAATCTCAGAAAAAAATAGTGAAAGGAAAAAAATTAACAGAAATAGTAAAAGGAAAATTTAACAGGGTGGGGAAGCACCCTGTTAAGATAGTCAGTATTAATGCAGTATCACAAGGAAGGGATTCTTCAAAAAGGGTGTTATGGTTTAGATTATTAAGTGTCCTCCCAAAAGGTTCATGTGTTGAAGACTTGGTCCCCAGCTAGTGAATTCAATCATTCAGAGGTGATTAGATCATAAGGGATCTGACCTAATCAATGGATTAATCCATTAATGGATTCATAACTTCATGGAATTAACAGGAGGTAATGGAAACTTTCAGAGGTAGGTCCTAGTTGAAGCCAAAATAAATCCTTTCTCCTTTAAATTGTTTCTCTCAGATATTTGGTCTCAGCAACAAAACAGCTAACACATTATATACTGTCATAGAATTTTCAATCAAAAAATTGTTGGACAGAGCATTCCACAAAATTTTATTCTAGTTTTAATAAAATGCACTTGTAGCTCTTCTAAGTTACTTTTCAACTAAATAATAATGACTCTCTACGTGTACCAGAAGGCTATACAAACTCTTCCTTCTAGCATTCTAGATTCTTCATTATCTGCTTACATTTAACTTATTCACATCTCTGGGCTGGCAGAGTGGCTCAAGCAGTGAAGAGCACCTGCCTTACCAGTGTAAGGTCCTGAATTCAACCCCCAGGGCTGAAAAAAAAAATTAACTTATCTACATCTAACTGCTGCTTCCCACTGCATTTCTCCCTACATCAGAGCAGCACCTGTTTCTTGTATACAACTTCATTCAAAATACATCCAATAATGAATCTTTGTAGAAACTTTTCTTAGATCCTTTGTCTTAAACTGTAGAATAATATGGCAAGACTCCAGGAGGCCTAGTGGAGAAGTTGCTGTGAGGCTGGGAAGCAGAGCAAACACACAAAAAAATGGGTTTTGGCAGGTAACATTCTATACCATATTTCTACTTCTACATTGTAGCTACATAGTATGGTATTACTTCTATATTTGGTTAGCAAATATTGAGTCCCCCTGCCATGTGCCAGGTACTATTCTAGGTATTAAGAGTATAGTACTGAACAAAACCACCAAATCATGTCCTTATGGTAAGAAAGCTAGGTAAAAAGGGAGGTTTGGGGGAGGAAGGAGGGCTAATGAGGAGGAAGTAATGGGACTCACTTGAGTCCCGGAGGCAAGGCAGAGCATGGTCCCAAGAAACTAATTTGATCCTTTTGGAATTCACTAAAACCTCTGATTTCTCTTCATTCACACCTCATCAACATTTTTTTTTTTCTGGCAGCACTGGGGTTTGAACTCAGGACCTCAGGCTTGCTAGGCAGCTGCTTAATGCTTGAGCCAGTCCGCCAGTCTTTTCTTTTTTTATGATGGGTTTTTTTAGTTAAGGTCTCTCAAACTATTTGCCCAGGACTGACTTCAAATGTCAATCCTACTGATCTCCGCCTCCTGAGTAGCTAAGATTACAGGTGTGAGCCACTAGTGCTCAGCCCAATCTTGTTAACATTTGTTGGTCATCTTCCAAATAGGATACATTAAGAATACTAAACTTAAGATCTTGGTTTCCATCACCTTGTAGTGGCTACAGGCTACATACGATAGGCAACACTCTTATCAAATTGTATATGCATTTAAGATATGTTCATTTATTGCATGTAAAATATTCCTCAACTAAAATGTAAACTATTCAAGAAAACAAAAGTAAATGTTTAGTATTTATTATAACTGGCATAATTTTATAATAGATTTATGATATGAATGCTTTATGTGCTATTGTGTATAAGGCCCTAGATACTGGGTAAGGTACATACACACTCTCTGAAATTTGAAATGCTGACATTCTGTTCTTACAGTTGTCTGCTTTACATTTTACCAGTTGTATAAAGTATTTTAAAAAGTAGCACATGCCAATAATTCTGTACCACTTGCAGATCTGGGTTCAAATTCAAGTTTTTTTCTGTGATTTGGGGGGAAATTTCCCACACCTGTTTCATCTGCAAAGTGGACATAATATCATCCTTACCAGGCTTTTGTAGAGACTGAATGAAGTGACAAGTCACAGTAAATATCCCTTTCCTGTGTTACCTCCTCCCAACATCTTTTGATGTCAAGTCCTTAGCCAGGATTTTAACTACCCATCATGACTCCTGCAGAGAAAAATTCTGGCCTTTTGCAATGATTCATCTTATGCAAGTTTCCAGTTCACAAAGAATTTTACACCTAATTCATACAATCCCATAACCCATGCATTCTTTATTGAACACCTATTACATGCCAGAACCTGTACTAAGCTCTAAAAATACAAAAGACAGTACCACATCTATGGAGTTTACATTCTAAAGAGTGTATACACACACTCAAAGTTAAAATATAACTTGACATGTGTGCATGTATATGTGTACAACTGGATTAGTAAAAGTTCTTTAAAGAAAAGATCAGCATAAGGGAAAGAATGAGTAGAACACAACAGGTATAAGGTTTGCTATTTTACACAAGGGCCAACGAAGTCCTCTTTAACAAGATGGCATTTGGACTGAGATTAGAATAGAGAAAGGAAGCCATGCATGTGGATAACAGGAAGAAAAGAATCCTACTAGAGAGAACAGTGCAGACTATAATGTGAGAAACATGCCTCACCTTCTGTGGGACAGAAAGATAACCAAACAGCAAGAGTGCAAATGATGAGCCACGGCAACAGACACCAAAGGCATGTAAAAGCCAGATTACACAGGGCCTGACATGTCATGGAAAATAAGGATCACTATGGATATTAAGCAGAAGCAGGAAGGCCACTGCAAGTCTACAGCAGCAGTTCTTAAACATGACCTGCATCCAAATCACCTGGATTTGGTTAAAAAACAGACTGATCTCAAATCCTATAGCTTTTTTAACAGCTAAAAATTAGGAACCCAGACACTATCCATGTATAATTTTATCATGAACTGTTATTCAGCAAAAAAGGAATGAATTATTGATACTAGCTTATCAAAATGGACACCTGCCACAGCTTTACTTTCTCAATTTTAGAAACCTTGTATGACAAGGTAAAGAAAAATGTACAGCAGAGTATTAACTTAATAGTAATTCACTGATGACACACTTAGCAAAAACAAATGGGAGAAGGCCACAAACTAAAGTAACTCTATGGGACTTAAAAACAGCTCAAGGGTTGAGGTTATAGCTCAAGCTGTAGAGCACTTGGCCAGCAAACACAATGCCCTGGGTTCAACTCCCAGTAACACCAAGAAAAAAAAACTTTTTTAGCAACATCATACATACATTCAGAGATGCTGAAGCAATTTACTAAAATGAAGCTACTTACTAAAACTGGTTTCCAGCAAGCAACTCTTAAAAATTCCATTTAAAATAATTCCCCTTATACAATAAGCTTCCATTCCTCCCCATCTCCACAGCAAACAATACTTGATGAAACAGATCTAAACAGCCAAGATGCATTTACATTAGAAATAAAGAAAAAAAAATTGGCTGTAACAGCTCCAAACACCTGATTTACGTTCACAAATGATCATTCTCTACCTCAACACTGTATTTTTAAAAGTCAATAGGCTTCTTCCAAAATGTGTCATGTCTTGAGGTTCTACTTTATTTCAATATTTCTATCTTCCAAACTAAGTAAATACAGCTGTTTTGTTAGGAGAGTGGAAAAAGCTAAATAATGAAGTAGGCTGCAAATGCAGGCTAAAAGCCAGTCATGGCAGCACATACTTGTACTTCCAACACTCAGATGACAATTTCTAGGCCAGCCTGAAGTACACAGGGAGACCCTATCGCAAAAACACAAAAATTAATACAGATAAAGGTCCCAGGAAACCAGTATCTATAACTGACAACTAGTTCCCATTAATTAACTGCCTTTTCTTCTACCAGAAGACAGAAGTGCAACTGTGCTGTGTATTCCCCATGGGCTACTGTCTGGTCAGTTCTAGTTTGCTAACAACATTGATGAGACTCTTAGACTCACATTTAACCTACAAACAAATCAGACATACAATTCCCCAATGCCATTTCCCCTAGCAACGCAGATACTGGAACTCCCATTTCTTGTAGTCATAATTTTATTTCAATGCAGTGCAACAGGAAATTTGTCTCCATTCTTACCACCTTAAACCATCTCTGTGTGAGGGAATTATCAATTCCAACTTGTTAAGTGAATGACCAGGAATTGACTTGGAAATGTTTTTATTTTTAAGCCAGCATCCAGACACATACCTTTGTTTAAAAAAGTAACAAAGGGCTTAATTTTTACCTGATAGTCCTAGTATGCTCAATTCAATAAAGACTCAAGACATAACATTGCTAAAATATTTATTTTGATCATCTATTATAAATAAGTCAGTAGAAGTTCCATTCTGCCATAGATGCATCTGAAAAGAGCCCCATGCCATCCAACTTATGATTGACTGTCTGAACGATGTTCCATTTCTTATCCCAGCCAGAGCACACATCTTCCATGTTGACCCTGTTCGATGATTGCTTCCATATCCAGATGACCAAACAGTCCTTTATCCCCAAAGTAGGCTAAAATGTTTGTGAAGGGGAAAAAAATAAATTAAACCCTGAAACAAAACTTTATAAATAGCTGAAGAACTAGAAGATTTTATACATTTATGTTTGTGTTTGCTTATCTGTCAAATTCAGTTACTAGAAGAAAAGGACCAATGTCATTAAATAAACAAACATATAAATCAAACATACAGAACTAGATTTAAAGAAATGAAAAGAAAAATGTAAGTTGACATGTAAAATGAAGTCAGTCAAAAGATAAATGATTAATGATTTTCATTAAATGGAAGGACTGAGGAACCCAGATAATAAAGCTATTATTAATTCTGAGAGTCAGACTTGCGTAGAAAGCCTACCACAACTCCCAGTTATAATCCCTTCTTTAAAGCTGTGGAAACTAAGCCATTAAGATGGTTACAAGTTCTAAGTGGAAGAGTGGGATGTAAACTGGCCTTAACTTTGGCCTACCCATACTCTAAGGGCATTGGCCTCCATTTCCATTTCACCTAATCCTTACCACAAACATTCTAAATCCACTGAAGAGCCCACACTTTCAAATCATTTGTTAACTGGAAGCAACAGGATCCAGGAAGGAGAAAAGAAGTTAACATGTCTAAATTCTGAGTAAAACTGCATTATAAAAGGACAATGAGGTTCTGTAAAGTTTATTTTCTCTGTGCCTGGGGGGGGGGGAAACATACATCTATTTTTATTTATCAAATATGTTATTAAATAGCATACAGTTAAGATATGAAAATAAACTTGAACTATGAAGATCTCTTTCTCAGGACTGGAGCTATAGCTCAACAGTAGAGCACTCTATCATGCGCAAGGCCCTAGGTTCAATCCTTACCACTGCAATCCATCCATCTACCAATCAATCAATATCTCTTTCTCAATGTAATTAGCATTCAAGTCTTCCTTTGTCTCATACAATACAAATAATGACTCTCTTTGTTAAGTTATTTGCCTTAATGATGTTCACTAAGCTACTACCTCTTACGCATTAAAATACTACATTTTGAATATGGCATTCCTATCAATCAACAATTGCTGACCACATACAATATACTACACTGGGCTACTAAGATGAATGTGGTTCTGATACAAAAAGCCCAACAACCTACCAAAGGAAACAAATCAATAAATTGTTAACTATATCATTTACATAAGTATTATATAAATTTATATATGAGCAATAGAATTTATATTAATAAACAGCATTTTTATACTAATGAAAACCATCATGTACACAATTCTGTCCCATTCAGGATACAGAGTAGACGATCCGGGAAGACCGCTCTAGTAGTCTCCCCAGTGCAGCCAGCACTGTGTATGAAATTCTGTAAGTAGGCATCAATTCTTTCCTAAAATGGAAGTACACCTAGGAAGGAGACCAGAAGACACTCTAATGACAGAAAAGATTTTAAAGGTCAGTACAAAAAAGGAGGGGAGCACTGAGAAGACATTAAGGTGAAGAAATAAAGCTTTCAGGGAATTTTTACATCTAACCTTTAACTTTGAAGGGTCAAAATGTACTATAATAACTGAGGCCATTCCATCCTCACTCTGGATCCTAGATTACCTAAGGCACAAGGACCAAGAGTGAGGCCCCCTTAATTAATTCAACACTTGTTAAACAGCTACTTTAGGTGCTTGCAGGGAAAATAAAATGTAATGTAAATAAGCTACAAACATAATACAAGGTAGAGAACTGACAGACACCAAAGATTACTGCTGAACACAGAAATGGGATCAGTTTCAGCCAGGAGAAAAGCAGGAAGAGATTTAGCAAAGAGGTAACATTTGAGATTAGGCTTTCCAGAAAGCAGGTGTTGTAGGCAGAAACTAATGGGAATGAGCATTCCAGAATGAGGAAACACAAGCAAATAGGCAAAGGCATGAAAATATTTTATTCTGGGATTAGCATGCAGTATCATGTAGCATGCTGTTCTTTAAAAAGGAGGTAGGGATAAAGGAGATGACACAGAAAAGATTAAAAGCTGCTATTAACAGTTTTTTGATCACATTACTTAACAAATACTGCTAACACTTTACATACAGTATTGTTATCTAATCCCCATGGCAACCTTATGAAGTAGGTATTATTATGTCCACTTATAAAAGAAGAACATCAGCTTAGAAAGTTTAATAGCCTCTTGGGAAAAGGTATTTGATAATTTCCAGTGCTTGGGAAAAATTCACATAGCTTGACCCAACAGTCCCATCTAGGATAATGTGCTCCAAGGTAATTGTTCTCTAAGGAAATAAATGATACACTTTTCTCATCTTCTGAGAAAAGAAGATGCCAGTGAAGCACAGCAGATGGAAGAAATTTGTATCACATGGCAATGTGCTGAGTAGTAAGGTTACCTGCAGGGGGCCATGTGACCCAGTAGAAGGACTTCAGACTTTGGAAATAAGTATATACTGACTGTCCTGTTCTGAAGGACTGACACGACAATACAAATAATATGTATAAAGCACCTAAAATAATAACTGATAGATTATAGGTGACTATGAATAATACTATTATTATAGGTTGCCATCCATAATTTGAAAAACTGAAATTTGAAACATTTCTAGTCCCAAGCATTTTGGGTATGGAATAGTCAACCTGTATTATTATTTTTTGCCCACTCTAGGGGAAAAAAGTGACTTAGAGGAGGATTTTGAAGAAACTGAAGACCTAGAATAGCCAGTAAAGTCTGTTAAGGCAAAATACAAGAGATGTCTGTGAGACAGAGGGCCAAGCTAAAATCCCACAGCACCACAACACCAGTGTGCAATGGTCAATGGTTTGTCCTCATAGTGCCATCAGTCCTTCTTTCCAGAACACACCTGTTTGAGATTCTGGAGATACAGATATAAAAATATACACATAAGCATATATATAGAGTTTTCACAAACTGCTTTATTTTAGATTTTGAATGTCCCTTAAAAAGCTCAAGTGTTAAAAGGCTTGGGTGCTAGCCTGTGAAGTTTTTTGGGGGTAGAAGAACCTTTAAGAGGTGTAGCCTTGTGGGAGGAAGTTAGATTACTGGGGGCATGCTCTTGAAGGGGCTACTAAGACTTCTGTCCTTTTGTCTCTCTTTCTTTGCTTCCTCTCCTCCATGAAGTGACTAGGCCTTCTCTATCACATGCTCTGCCATGATGTACTACTGTGCTACCTAAAGCTCAAATCAACAGGGCCAAGAAACCAGAGACTGACGCCTCTGACACCATGAACCAAAATACACCTTTCTTCCTTGTAAGTTGAGTTTCTTAAGGTATTTTGTCACATTAATGAAAGCATACTAAAAAACAAGGACACATACTTATATATGTGTATTAACATGGATACTGGGTGAGTATGAAGTTTTTACAAGTGCTTATGCAACACCAACAAGGTTGTTTATGAGGAAGGAAAGTGACAGTGAATTTATGGAGCCATAAGTGTTCATATACTTTGATTTACTAATCTCATGAGAAATTACTGTAAGAAAATAAATCAAAATATATAACACCTAAATATATTAAAATGTATCATTATGTAAAATACTGAAAAATTGAAAAACCTGTGTAATCAGCAACTGGAAAATATCAACTCTAATTTTATGTGAAGAAAAAAAATCCTATGTACCCTTGGTAGAGTGATATAAAAAGCTGTATTTATCTGAATAAGGATAAGATGGGAATGTAAAAAATTCAAATAGCTCACCTTTTAATGTGGTAGGATAATTCAGTTCTTTTCCTTTTAAAATGTCTTTTATTATGAATATAGCATAGTAAATAAAAAGTTCAGAAGGCGAAAGAAGCTACCTGGAAACACAAGCTAACCTGATCCACAAGCTTTTTTTCAGTGTAGCCCAAGACTACACTGACTGGTAAAGGTCCATGTCAACTACTACCACTATTATGCTTTTGCTTCCCAATGAAGGGAACATGAACATTTTCAGGGCACATGAACATTTGCCCTGAAATGTTTATCTTTAAGAACAGTACCTTAAAACTGTTGGTTCAGGCATTCCAGGATCTGCACCCCTTTTAAATCCTAAAGAAAGAAAAGAAAAATAAATACTAAAACCTAGCAGACAAAAAAAAAATCTACAATCAAGATTTTCTTGTTAATCCCATCTAGGATGGCTATTTTAGATTCCCAGATCTACCAACACTAGACTAACCTGTGCTACAGAATTGTTTCAACTACAGTATGAAACTATGTCCAGGTCTAATTGGTAGGGCAAGTTACCTTTTATCTACTATATACAGAATTAGCACAGTAGTTCTAAGCATGCTCTACTTTTCACTGTTAGTCATTACCTAGAAATGTTACCATGACTCCCACATCATCTTGATGAAAAACATGAATACAAATATTTAGAAAACCAAACTAAACTGTTTTGAAAGCACAACTGAGGATAATAGAAAAAAAATTCAATAATTAGACAACCTAATTAAATCAACTCATTACAAGTATGATTAAATAAATCTTTTAATTAATTTGCTGACATACATGTTGATCTGTTGAAATAACTGATTAAAATTAAGAATATCAAGAATTATGAGGGAGGGGGCAGGGGGCATGGGGGAGAAATGGCCCAAACAATGTATGCACATGTGAATAAATGAAAAAAACAAAAGTTTGCCTACTAGGTAACAAAAAAAAAAAAAAAAGAATTGTGAGAGGTCAGATGTGGTGGTGTAGCACTCAGGAGGCTGAGGTAGGAGGATCTTGAGTTTGAGACCAGCCTGGGCTATATGGTAAGACCTTATCTCAAAAAAAAAAAAAAAAAAAAAAAAAAACTGTGAGAGATCTGAAAATTTACCTTATTTTCAAGATAACAAACTAGCCTAGCAGTCTCACAGATGCTGGTAGAAGACAAAAGGTTCAGAGTCATTCATATGCAAAGGAGAACTTATTACTCCCAGCAGTAGCATTAGTAAAGAGTATCATCATTTTGCTTCAGTAACCCAAGAACCAATGCAAAACCCCAAAGAGGGCCCGAATTTTCTGTAATATGCTATATGCGTGTCTCCCCTGAGCTCTGGAGGGAGGCACTGTTTTCCAAAGTTGTTTGTTCTACAAATATCCTCAAAAGATAACAAAGGCTCATCAGAACCTGTGCTCACAAGACTTGCAGAAAGGCAAGAGACCATGGAAAGTTGTCCTCCAATTTGTGGCTCATTAAAACCTTTTTGTTGGTAATGCCCAGACAGATTCTTCATCACTGTGTACTTTCTGTCATATTTCATAATACTATATACTCCATGAAGCTCTAAGAGGTATGTTTAAACCTAAATTTCACAAGAAGTTAATCTGCTGAGATGGAAGAAGTAAAAAAAAAACCTGGGAAGCAATTTAAACATAAAATTAAACTTTGTACACACTATGAGGGAAAAGACAATAATAAACAAGGAATAAGTATTGGAAATCCCATAATAGTCCTTGGAAAGGGAACCAGTGTGCATAAAATGTAAAGAAAAAAATACTCTAGTATGGAAAAGAAAAGCATTATCCACTCTTCAGAACAAAGCCATTGGAAAATAGTATTGTAGCAACCAGTTACAACTTTCTAACAGTAAAAAAAGGAACCTCAAAAAGAGGAGAAAGAGCTGGACATTATGGTTCATGCCTATATTCCCAGCTACTCAGGAGGATGCAAGTTCAAGACCAGTCTGGGTGTACATAGTAAGAATCCACCTTAAAAAAAGTGGGGGGCGTGGAAAGAGGAAGAGGTAAGACTTACAGAGAAGCAAAGAAAACTACAGGGACAAAGAAAGTAAAAGCAGGCTAAAATAGGATACCACATTCCCAACCATTAAAAGTGGCAGTATAAAAAAGAGAAAGAGTGCTCGCTTTCAGCAGCACATATACTAAAATTGAAACAATACAAAGCAAGGATGACACGCAAATTTGTGAAGCATTCCCTAATTTTTTAAAAATAGGGAAAGAATCAAGACTCCATACCTTTCTTTTTCTCCTTTTTTTAAAAAACATATTTTGGGCTCTTTTATCTTTTCTAATTTTTCTTTTCCCACCTCATACCTTACTTAGCTAAAAGGAGAACCAGTTCAGTGTCTGAACAGCCAAACCAAGTCCTTTGAGTGGCTGGCACAGCCTTATATTTCCAACATGAACAGGAGGATCTCAAGTTCAAAGCCAGCTTGGGCTACATGGTGAGACACTGTTGGGGAAGGGTGGGGGAGCCTTTGATCATTAAGTTAAAAATTGGGGGGCAAGGGGATGCAAGAAATAAAGGTGACAACACACCCTGTAAAAGCTGTCATTTACTGTAATCCTTGATACCTATATAAAGTCACTAGAATGTTGGTAAGTAATACTTTTAAAAATTGATTCAGGCTGGGTGCTTGTGGCTCAGACCTGTAACCAATCCTACCTACTTGGGAGACTGAGACTGAGAGGATTGAGGTTTGAGGCTAGCCAGGGCAAATCATTTTTGAGACCCCCCCAATCTCCAAAATAACCAGAGCAAAACTGGACTGGAGGTGCAGCTCAAGTGGAAGAGTGCCTGCTTTGCAAGCACAAAGCCCTGAGTTCAAAACCTAGTCCCACCCAAAAAAAAAAAAAAAAGCATTCAAAATAAGGGAGGAAAAAAGACCTTTATAATTTATAGCCACGGGTGCCTGAAAAATGTTGGGTCTACTCAAAGGTTTTGTCAAGACTAAGAATACTGTATCTTATACAATGCATGACACTTAAAATAAATTGGAAGTAGCACTTTGTTAAGATCCTACTTTAAAGTGTGAACCATGAGTTTCTGAAGTGTCAAACACTATGTTTAAACTGACAAGAGCTGGGCTAAAAACCTATGCTGTTTTCCTTTCACAGTACTGCCTGAAAAGGGCAATAAGATTAAAAAGAAAAGTTACTCAGAAACAAGACAAGGTCCCGGTGTGCAGCCCTAGGTAAAAATACTTGCCTGGGTACCGACAAATCCTTGCAGTATAGCAGAATGATAAAGCATTATGGCCTTGATGTCCCACTGCCTGAGTCTATAGCCCCCCTCAGTGTAGTTGTGTGACCTTGGGCAAGGAATATAAGAGTTTTCTATGGTCAGTGTCCTCCCCTGTAAAATGGGGCCAGTAAAAAAAAAAAAAAAAAAATCATCCAAACTGTACAAGTGAGAGGGCAGAAAGGGCACTGCACAAGTGCTTTAAGGCAGTGACATGTTTACGAGGTGTCCAAAGTCCCAAATTAGACTTCTTTCCACTCAGGCCCAAATGGAGCGGCAAGAAACGCGCTGAAGACCCACCTAGTGTCAGGGAATTAGTCACTTTCACATACATCGGGTCATCTACCTGCCCTCCAGACCATCCTGAAAAGTAGGTCTTACCTCCATTTTACACACGTTAAGTACAGAATGCGAGGGATTACCTGACTTGGTAAAGACCGCTCTATTAGTAAAGGAAAGAACTCGCGCTCAAGTTAAATCCACCCCATTTGCCTCGACCGCGGCGTTGGCAGCGTTTCCTGCTCCCGCCCCCTAAGGCCAAAGATGGAGTTCGTCGACTTCACAGCCCCTTCCCTCCGGTTTTCTCCCACGTTCTTCACCCACTGACCCAGGTAAATCACGAGAGGAATAAAGCCCCAGCGGATAGCAAACTGGCCGCCCTTGAAGAGCTGCTGCAGCCTCTGCTTGGCCTCTTTGCTTAGCTTCACCATGGCGATAACGTAGAGGCGCAGTGAGGAGCCTCACCGCAGCGTCCGCGTAGGGAATCCGAAAAAGAAGAGGAAGTGCGCACGCGCCTTTACGGCAGGAGTCGTGAGCGTCCCCAGCAGAGGTCGTAATTCATCGTCCTTAACAAGCTCTGTTCCTCCCTCCTCCGCCGCGCCGCCAGTGGGAGGCGCATGCGTGATTAGTTCGGCTTGCTTTACGAGAGTCAAGAGTTCACTTTCCTCCTCAAAATTCTAATTACCTGGTTACCCTTGGTTGCTGTCGGTTACTGGAGGCTGTGCTGTTGGAGTTCCTTTAGCTCGGAATGACCTCTAAGAGGTCGTTTGTAAGAGCACACAATCTCCAACTGTTCATTCCTTGATAGAGAAGGAATGTTAATTAAATTAGAAAAGGAGAGATAATGTTAATTAAGTTAGAAAAGATAAATCAGACTCAGTCTGATTTGCTTAATATAATCTTGTATAATTTAAGTTCTCAGGCTTTCTTGCGATACTCGGATTTGAACTCGCGGCCTACACCTTGAGCCACTCCACCAGCCCTTTTTTTGTGAGGAGTATTTTCAAGATAGGGTCTCACGAACTACTCGACAGTGGGCCTTTGAACCTCGATTCTTCTGATCTCTTCCTCCTGAGTAGCTAGGATTACAGACGTGAGCCACTGGCTTCTGGCTCAGACTCTGTTTCCTCAAGCCAGAGGTTGAACTGCAAGGGAGGTTAGAAACTACCCTTGTTCTATTTGACACACCCCTCGGCCTCCACATGTTCGGAGTTAGGAACTTTCCCCATGAAACTCCTTTTAAAAGTTGGCGAATTCCATTGCAACAATTAAGGGACGTTAATGGTAAATGACGCTCCTTTTAGCCCATTTTGCCCTCATTGGTGTAAAATAGCAGTTCTCCACTCTGGCAGCACTCAAAGCTATACTCCTGCTGGAGACCTACTCCTAGAGATTCTAATGAGGGGGAAAGAGGGACTGTCATTGGTTTGCCTTTGAAGTTCCCCCAGGTGATTCCAATGGGTAGCCTGCATCCCCAAATTCTGATACAGTAACTGCCTGACTGCTGTCATATTTGAGCTTTTGACTCCAGGTCTAGGACTTCTTGCTAAGGCTCTAAGATATTTCTAAGGCTTTGACCTTGAGGACTTTCCTGGCTCATTCTCAAGATACAGTCACATTTTCTGTGAATCTTAAGATGTCCAATGGCTCCTAAAGATTTCCCTTTGCATTATGGTCATGTCTGTGTTTGGATCATCTTCATAACAACAATTTGTGTCTACTATGTCTGTCACTGGCTTAAGTACTTCAATACATTAGTACTTTACTAATTCTTGTAAAACTAAAATTTATGTTATGGGCCTCATACATAAAGATACTGGAACTCAGATATTAAATAATTGATCCAAGATCACAGTTTGTGCTCTTAATCATTATACTACATTGCCCCTTCTAATATCTGAGCTCCTCCAGAGCAGAAACTGTTTCTTTCTCATCTTTTCATCTAAATACCTGATACAAAGTAAGAATGCAATGAATGTGGCAAGTATCCTGTCAGGCTAAACAATAATACCAATGCCATTTGCCTTTTTCACACACTCATTGAGGCTTACTGTATGGTAGCCACTAGAGATAAAAGATTTTCTAATTTTTTTTTTTTTTTTTTAGGTACTGGGGATTGAACCCAAGGCCTCACACTTGCCACTGAGCTATACCCCCAGCCCAAGATTTTCTTTCTAAAGAAGCATGCTCTTAATGAGTTCATCATTGAGTGTATTAGAAGTGAGTAAACAGTTGATTCCAATGCAATGTGAATATATTTGTATATATACTAAGTACTACAAGAAGGTTATGCATAAATTATGATAGAAAAGCAGATAGGTGACACCTAACATTGCCTAGGAAAGTCAAGGAACTTTTGAAGAAGCCAGTGGCAGTCAAACTGGAGAGAATATATGTGAGTGAGACTCATTAAGAATGTAAAATCAGTAGGACTTGTGGGTCAAGCTGGAAGAGTTAGTCTAGGATGATTGCCCAGTTCTGGGTTTGTGCAGTAGTCTCACTTCTTGACTTCTACAAAGTGGTAAAGTTTATGTAGCTTCACCTTGACAGTGACTCCTACACATAGGGTTGGAAATGAGAGCAATGTTGTAATGGCTGATGGATGTTATGTTCCTTTGATACATTTCTTATTAGAGGAAAAAGGTCAAGACTCTCTTCTTTATTCTTGCTTTGCCCTTCTGGTTTAGTACCATATAGCCTAGAGTAAACTAAAATAATAGCCAGAAGCTAAGTGGACTTCGTATCTGTGGTCTCCATCCTACTACATAAGTAGTCAACTCTTCTGATCAAAGTTCTGCTCCTGTCACCCTCTTTCTGAAGATTCTGGTGATTTACCAAGAGCTACCTCACTAAATCTGTTTGTTCTTCTGAAAATAAGTGTAATTCTTACAATGTTTTTTTGTGAGAGAGAAAAGCAGCTGATGTTTATGAAAGGTTTTTTGCAAACCTTGGAGTGTTAAACACATAGTAAGAAATATCATAAAGATAAAAGATAGTACCCAGAAAAAAAGATAATACCCCATGATAAAAAAAAAAGTACCCTTTATTGGAACCAAAAAGAAAATTAACTTAGGAGGAGAAAGCTAGCCTGTGCTGAAATAATCAGGACAAACCTCACAGAGAGCATGGTACTTAGCAATTAGTAACACTACATTATAAGCCATAATGTATTTGTTCATTCTAAAAGATCAGGTACTGAGGCTATTCAGATCCTGGTGCTATTGATAATTATGAGATACCATCCCGACTTAAAGGTTGAAAACAAGGTATTAGGAAATTACTTGTTCATGTGCACGTGACTAATCCTTGGAAAAACAGTAACATAAAGACCAGAATAAACCCAAAACCCAGGGGCAAAAGATTTGCATTTAAATCCTGGTGGCTTTATCACTTAGCTATGTGATCATAATCAAATTAGTTAATCTTTCTGAGTCCCTTTTCTCATCTGAAGAAAAGGATAGCAGTAGTTTCCACCTTCATCAGTAAACACAAAGAAATGATCTGCATGAAACAGTGCCTTGCTAAGTAAAAATGTAGTCAAATGTAAGCTGTCACTATTATTGTTTGTTGCTTGTATCTTCATTTTTACTAGTTACAGTTTTAAAAATCAAGATTTTTCTGAAGTTTTTTCTAAAGCTGCCAGCCTTGTGGGAACTGGCTGTACCGACTACTTACACAGCCAAAAAAGTGGAAACATGTAATACAAGAATAATGAAAAACAGTCATCCAGACAATATTTTAATTTTGTCTCCAATAGATCTTAATACGATGCATGAAGAAAAGAACACAGGCTTTGAAGTCATGTGAATCTAAGATACATACCAAGAGTACACTGTCAAAGTTTGAACTCAGTACTGCCATTTACTCCAAATCCAGACCTTAGAACTAGCTGATAACTTATCAGAAAATCTAATTAGTTCACCATGGTTACCAGGAAAACAAGGCTTAGTTTCCAAAATGCAGCCAACTTGATGAGCCAAATCAAAAAGAGGGAAAAATTCATTCTGCATCTTATTTCTCAGAAATGGTTTGTTTAAAAATACATCAATATTCAAACACCATGTATTTTCTTGGATTTTAACTCTTTCTTTGCCCTCTCTTTTTCCACTAGGATGTTTTTGAGCAGATAAACCATTTCTCATTGCATGATTCAACTTAGAATTCTTAAACACACCAAACAAGCATATGCATGATATAAAATTTTAACAAAGAAGAAATTAGTTAAAAAAAAAAGAGTTACTAAAGTTGGGCATGTGAGTGCATATCTATAATCCTAGCACTGTGAAGACTGAGGGAAGAGGATCTCAAGTTTCAAGCAAGCCTGGGCTACATAGGAGATACTGTCTTAAAAAAAAAATCTCTGGGACATCAACCAAGGATAAGGCTCTGCCAGGAAAAGGAAGTTTCAGAAAACTGCCATACCCAACCACTGCTCCCCCTCCAAGGATTTAGTAACTTATTTAGAAAAGAAGTTACAAAGGACTGGGAAGTTCAGGGGAAACTTCATAAAAATGAATTTTTTTTTCATTTTTTCTTTCAGTACTGCGGCTTGAACTCAGGGCCTACACCTTGGACCACTCCACCAGCCCTTTTTTGTGATGAATTTTTTTTCAAGATAGGGTCTTGCGAATTATTTGCCCAGACTGGCTTCAAGCCACAATCCTCCTGATCCTGCGTCCCAAATAGCTAGGCATGAGCTATAGGCATGAGCCACCAGTGCCCAGCTGAATTTTTTTTTTCCAGTGCTAGGGATTCAATCTTGAGCCTCTAGAACACTAGGCAAGAGCTTTACCACTGAACTACACCCCCATCCTCCTAAACCCCCAATCCCCCAAGCTGATTTTTATGGTTAGGGAAGCAGAAGAAAAGAAGAAATGCCAGAGCACATACCATTATGGGGGAGAGGAGTGTGGGAGAGAGAGAGAAACAGAGAAAAAAAGAGAGAGGTATTTTAGATAGAATAGAAAGCACCAGGCAAGAAATAATGAGAGCAAATTGGAGGGGGGGAAAAAAAGCCTTAATGTCAAGAAATTTGGATTTTAGCCAGAGAGTCTCTGGAAAGTGGCTGAATATTTTAAGTGGGGAAAAAATGTACACAATAAAAGCACTTTTAGAATTTAGTTCTTATTCAATTTATTTTATTGAAAGGGAAATAAAATCACATTGTCTAAATTTACAAGATATAAAAGGGAATATAATGGAAGGTCTGCCTCTTCCTTCTGTCCCCCTGCTGCCTATTTTTCTCCCTCAAGGCAAACCAATGTCACTAGTTTCTTATATATTCTTCCAGAGACATCTATGCATATGGAAGCAAAAACACATAAATTCCATCCCTTCTCCCCCTTTTTTTGTAAGTGGGGAAAATACACATTTATCTTGCAGTTTTTCCCTCAATAAACATACCTTAGAGATTCTCTTGTATCTCTGCAAGAGAATATATAAAAAAGAGCCTTCTTCACTTTTTTAAATTGATGGATTGAAATAAAACATAATGTAGTTAAA